TGTCCCCGTGTCCCCTCCCGGTGTCCCGCTGTCCCCTCCCTGTCCCCGCGGTGTCCCGCTGTCCCCTCCCGCTGTCCCCTCCCGCTGTCCCCTCCCGGTGTCCCCCGGTGTCCCCGGTGTCCCCACTCACGGCGCGGGGCCGGGGGTCGCTCAGCACCGTTGGGTTGGGGGTCGCGCCCCCTCCCCCGAAGGCGTCGCCGCTCTCTCGCCAGCGCCCGAACTCGGCCGGGGACAGCGAGGTGGCCTTGGGGACACCGGGGGGGGCCTTGGGGACACCGGGGCTGCGGAACCGGGAAAACCCCTCGGGGTGTCCCCAGCGCCTCCCCGGTGTCCCCTCCCGGAGCCCCCCGGTGTCACCGTTACCCCCCCGGGATGTCCCCAAGGGGGTTCCCCGATGTCCCCCCGGTGTTCCCCCCCTGTCCCCGGTGTCACCGTTCACTCACGGCGCGGGGCCGGGGGTCGCTCAGCACCGTTGGGTTGGGGGTCGCGCCCCCTCCCCCGAAGGCGTCGCCGCTCTCTCGCCAGCGCCCGAACTCGGCCGGGGACAGCGAGGTGGCCTTGGGGACACCGGGGGGGGCCTTGGGGACACCGGGGCTGCGGAACCGGGAAAACCCCTCGGGGTGTCCCCAGCGCCTCCCCGGTGTCCCCTCCCGGAGCCCCCCGGTGTCGCCGTTACCCCTCTGGGATGTCCCCGGTGTCACCGTTACCCCCCCGGGATGTCCCCGGTGTCCCCCCGGTGTCACCGTTACCCCCCCGGGATGTCCCCAAGGGGGTTCCCCGATGTCCCCCCGGTGTTCCCCCCCTGTCCCCGGTGTCACCGTTACCCCCCGGGGTGTCCCCAAGGCTTCCCCGGTGTCCCTGTCCGGTATTTACCGGGACACCCCCGCTGTCCCCTCCCCGTCCCCGGTGTCCCCTCGGTATCCCCGTTGTCCCCGGTATCCCCACTGTCCCCCGTTGTTCCCCCGTTGTCCCCGGTATCCCCGTTGTCCCCGGTATCCCCGCTGTCCCCCGTTGTTCCCCCGGTGCCCCCCCGGTGTCCCCGGTGCCGCCGTTACCCCCCGCGGGTGCAGCGCCATCCGCAGCTCCCAATCCGCCACCGCCGCCCGGGACTCGTAACGGGCCCCGAGGCGCCGCCGCAGCCGCCGGTCCCAGCCCGGGGGCCCCGGTACCGGCCCCGCTTCGGCCTCCGGTACCGCCCCCGGGCCCGGTTCTGTCTCCGGTACCGCCCCCGGGCCCGGCACCGCCCGCTCCCAGCGCCGCAGAACCGCCTCGAGAGCGTCCCGGTCCCGGCACTGCGGGAGGGACAGCCCGGTACCGACAGCACCGGGACCCCGAGACAGCACCAGGACCCGGTACCGACAGCACCGGGACCCTGAGACCCGGTACCGGCAGCACCGGGACCCGGAACCAGCAGCACCGGGACCCGGTACCGGCAGCACCGGGATCCTGAGACCCGGTACCGGCAGCACCGGGACCCTGAGACCCAGTACCAACAGCACCGGGATCCTGAGACCCGGTACCGACAGCACCGGGACCGATCCCGGTCCCGTCCAGCCCTGCTCCCCCGGTGTCCCCGGTCCCGGTCCCGCCCAGCCCCGCTCCCCCCGGTCCAGTCCCGCCCGGTTCTGACCTTCATGAGGCGCAGGTCGGCGGGCCCGTGGCGCTCGGTGTCCCGGTGCCGGTGCGGGTCCGGTTCCGCCCGCAGCCAGCGGCGGAGGCGGCCCGCGGCCCCGCGCAGCAGCGCCGCCGTGCCCGGCCCCAGCGAGCCCGAGCCCAGCAGCTCCAGCACGGCGGCGGCGCGGGCTGCGGCACGGCACCGGCGTCACCGGGGCACCGGGAACACCGGGGACACCGGGAGGGGCAGAGGGGACACCGGGAACACCGGGAGGGGACACCGGGAGGGACAGAGGGGACACCGGGGGTACCGAGGGACACCGGGGATACCGGGGGTTATCGGGGGAGGACACCGGGGAGTACCGGAGATACCGGGAGGGACATCGGGGACACCGGGGGAATTACCGGGGACACCGGGGTTAGCGGCGGAGACACCGGGAGGGGACACAGGGGATAGAAGGGACACCGGAGGGAAACCAGAAGGGCACCGGGGTTACCGGGGCGGTCATTAGGGACAGCGGGGGACACCGGGAGGGACACCGGGGTTACCGGGGGGGGTCATTAGGGACACCGGGGGCCGCTCCGGTGCTTCCAGCGCCAGCAGCAGGAACAGGAGCTGGCGAGCCACGGGCTCGGGGCTCTGCTCGACCACGAAGAGCTGCGGGAGAGCCCCGGTAACACCGGGAGAGCTCCGGTAACACCGGCACAGCCCCGAAGCGGGAGCTTCACCCCGTCCCGGTGCTCTGCAGCGCGACACCGAGCCCGGTACCGGGACCGCTGCCCCTCCCGGTTGCCGGTGTCCCGGTCCGTACCGTGATGTCGCGGGGGGGTCCCCGGCGGGCCCGGGCCGCCGTCATCAGCAGGTGCCGGCCCTCGGCCGCCCCCACCAGCAGCACCGAGGCCTCCGGTCCCGGCGGGACTGCGGGGATCGTGAGGGAGCCGCGGTCACCGGGAGCACCGGGAGCAGTCCCGGGAGGGTGCGGGGGGCTCGGGGCTCACGGTGCAGGCGGAGATCGATGGCCGGGGACAGCCCCCACCAGCACACGGTGCCCACGGCGTCCTCCAGCGCCGCCGCCATGGCAGAGCCCTCACGGAGCCCTCACGGAGCCCGGCAACGCCGCTGACCAATCAGGAGCGAGAACAGCGGCGGGAAACGGCAGCGGACCAATGAGAAGAGAGAGTGGTGGGGAAACCCCGCCCACCGGGACGCGGTTGCCAGGGTAATACCGACAATACCACGCCCACGTCTCATTAACATAACCCCGCCCCAAACTAGCATGACCACACCCACATCTTATTAGCATGACCACGCCTCTTCATTAGCATAACCGCGCCCCCGCGCTGTAACATAACCCCGCCCCAAACTAGCATGACCACACCCACTCATAGTATTAGCATAGCCACGCCTCTACATTAGCATAACAGCGCCCCCGCGCTCCCGGTGCTGAATTTGCGGAAATTTCGATTTTTTTCCCCATTTTTTTCCTTAACGACGGCGCCGATTGCGCCCCCAGACCCTTTTCCCCCCCAAAACTCAGCCAGGGTCGGACCAGGAGCGTTTATTCCCCCCTGGCTCGGGGGGGCTCGCAGCGTTTGGGGGTTTTTGGGGTGCCAGGAGGGGATTTTTGGGGGAATTTTGGGGGGTTTTGGGGTCATCGGTCCATGGTGGATTCTTCGGGGGGGGTCTCGAAGCAGAGCTGCAGCAGCCGCTCGCAGAATTCCAGCTCTTCCTGTGGGGAGGGCTCAGCGTTAAAACCCCGGGAATTTACCCCAAAATC